CTGCCGCAGCAGAGGGAGCGGCCGATGGTGCTGCAGCCGCAGCAGCAGCAGCTACGGGTGCTGCTGCTGCTGCCACAGCAGGAGCGACTGGTGCTGCTGCAGCTACTACGGCAGCAGCTGGTGGTGCTGCAGCAGCAGCAGCAACACCTACTCGCACTGCTGCAGCCGCGACAGCAGCAGCTACTGTTGCTGCTGCAGCCGCAGCAGCTAGTGCTGCAGCTGCTGCTGCTTCCTTTTTGGCGGCGAAAAATGTTAAGAAGACTCGCAAGCCCGTGGGGCCCCCTGCTGCCCCCGCGCAGCGCAGCAGCAGCAGCAGCAGCAGCAGCTGGAAGAAGTTCTATTTAAAAGTGGAAATGAGTTTAAAAAGACAAAACTTAGTTTTTGAAATTAATTTTTAGAAAAATAAACGGCGAAAGCGCAGCCGCAGCAGCAGCAGCAACGCTGCTGCAGCAACTGCTGCTTGCTGCTGCGGCAGGGGCTGCGGCTGTCCTCTTCTTTTGATGGGATTTGGAGTTTATTTTTCTTGAAATAAATGATTTTTAAATTAGAAATAATTTAATAAAAACTTTTCGCAAATTGCAAATCTTTTTTGCATGCAAGAAGGGTCTTTCTTTGCTGCGGTTGCTGCGGACACGGGGGCCCCCTGCAGCACCAGCAGCAGCAGCAGCAGCAGCAGAAAAACGCGGAAAAAGGGGGAATTTGAAGTAAAATGGAAAATAAAAGCATTTGTTTATTTTAGTTTTGCAATTTGGACTTTTTTAATCACTTTAACGCATTTTTCCGCTGACAACTCCGTGAAATGGAACTTCCATGAAACCCCCCAGGATCTGCCGGAGGGTTCTTCTCTTTGCTGCTGGCTGCTGAGGTGTCTGTACACCTGAAGCAGCAGCAGCAGCAGCAGCAGGACTCGCGAGGTGCAGCAGCTTCGACATGGAGGCTTTTCCCGTGGGCACAAACCTGCAGCAGAATGATAAACAAAATAGATATAAGTATAAGTATAAATATAAATATAAATATGAATATAAATACAAATATATATGTAAATATAAATATAAATATAAATATAAATAAAATATAAATATAAATAAAGTGCATTATTTTGAGGTGTATGTACACACGACTGCCCACGTACCCGTAGGGAGGAGAATCGGAATACTTTATATTTTTGCTTTCGATGTTCTTTTGCTGCAGTCCGGCGAGAGTTCCTGTTGCTGCTTCTGAACAGCAGCAGCAGCAGCAGCAGCGGCAGCAGCAGCAGCAGCAGCGATTGAGAAGGAACTTTAATTTGCTGCTCAAACACTTGCTGCCTCACCCGTGGGGAAGCAGGGGACTCGTTCTTGTCTTTGTGGAGCTGCAGTAGCGCTGGGTTCACGCCCAGCTCCAAACCCTAAACCCTAAACCCTAAACCCTAAACCCTGACCTGCAGCGGGGCCCTCTGCAGGCCAAACTTGAGCTGCCGCTGCTGCAGCTTCTTCCGGGAAAATGTAAGGAATTGGAAAGCCCCGGAGAAAAGAGTTTGAGGGTTTGGGGGGTTTAAATGGGGCTTCTGGGGCTGGCAGGAGTTCTGCAAAAGCAAACAATTGAATTAAAAGAAGACAAGGAATTGAATTAAAATGAGACAAGTAATTAAATTAAAATAAGACAAATAATTGAATTTAAAATGAAATAAGTATATTGAAAAGAATTCAAAAAGAATTTAAAAATACAAAAAGCCAAAAGACCCACCGAAGGGAACGCCGAGACTCCCTGGGCCCATTGGCCGCCGCCAACTCGCCGGAATTGCGTTTTTCAAAGGGCCATTCTTAAAAGGGAGTTAAATTAAAAAGAAATTAATTTAAAAAGAAATTAATTTAAAAGGAATTAAATTTAAAAGAACCAAATTTAAAAAGAATTCAATTCAAAAAGAATTCATTTAGTGCTGCAGCAGCTGACCTGCAAAGCCACGGCGACGCGGGGGGGGCCCGGGAACGCAACCGAGCGCAATCCAGCGGCGCTCGAGGCTCTCGGGAGAAAGAAATAAATTAAAATTTGAATTAAGTGAGCTTTCATTTCTAAAATTCAACTAAAGATCTTTTGATATCCAAAAATAAAAACTGCGGCGCCGCCTGCTTCCCCGTTTCAGGTGTATGCGTAGCTCGCATTTCAGGTGTACGTGCGACTCGGGCTGCGCCGCTGGAGTCGTTTCAACTCGCGACTTTTATTTATTTTTTTTAAATTTATTTCTGCGATTAAATGGCGTTTTGAAGAGGAAATTGAAACCCTTTTACGTTTTTAGTGCCTTTTCTGTCTTCGAACTTCCCCGGGGCACCCCTGAAACGCAGAACTTGAATTTCAAGTTCTCGTCGGAAATTTTGAATTTCCGGAGGCGCTGAAGCCCCCTTTCGCGCAGCAAAATGAAAACAATTATTTTAAATTAAACTCTAACTGGCTTTTCAGAAGCTGCAGAATCTGCTGCTTTCTCACTTCAGATTCCAACAACTTGTGCAGATTCTTTTTGCAAAAGAGTGCGATGCAGGCGAAGCTGCGAGTGCGTGGAGTTCGTGCAAAGAAATGCATTAAATGAATTAAAACTATTATTGAAATTCAGAACTTGAGGAGTTAAAACTATTTTATTGAAACTCACTACTAAATGAATTAAAACTACTTTTATTGAAATTCCGAATTTGAATTTTCGTCCAAGTTCAGATTCTGCATTTTGCTGCAGCGGGGCAGCTGTCTGTACACCCGAGAGGCCGGAAAGAAGAGTTGGAAGCAAAAAGAAAAGAAAAGTTTGCGAAGCCTTCAAGCTGCGAAGAGTTTCAGGAGGTCTTTGCTGACTTGGAAGCCTTTTTTATTTCCATTTTCTTCTTCTTTGCCGCTCTCGCTGCCGAGCTGCTTCCGCTTCCGCGCCCCCTGCTGCTGCTGCTGCTGCTGCTGCCGCTGCTGCTGCTGCTGCTGCTGCTGCGGCGGGGCCCCGGTGCGTTTGTGGGCAACTCTTTGGCGCAGCTGTTCGGCGGAGTGCTTCTGGTGGAGGAGGTGTACGTACACCTGAGCCTCGCGCTTGACGCGCGCGATCTGCGCATTTATTCTTTCCAGTTTATTTCTTTTCAAGTTTTGGACTTCTTCGTGGAGAGAGCTGAAGCTGAAGCCCCGCAGGTAGGACAGCAGCAGCAGCTGCTGCGCGCTGCTGCTGCGCTTCTTGCCCCCCGCAGCTTCTCCGTTCTTCAGCGCCACCAGCTGCTTCGCCTGCTGCTTCTTCCGGAACTCGATCCACGCCTCCCGCAGCAGCTCCTTCCGCCTCCTGCTGCTGCTGCTGCTGCTGCTGCTGCTGCTGCGGCTGCGGGTCACGAACAGCCGCGTCACTTCTCCGAACCTTTCGAAGTACCGCAGCAGCTGCCCCCGACTCCACCCGAACGGCACCTGCGCCAGATACACCACGCCCCGCTTCCGCACTTCTGCTGCTGCTGCTGCTGCTGCTGCTGCTGCTGCTGCGGGCTCGGGGGCTTCTTCCGAGGCTGCTGCAGGCGCTTCCTCGGGAGCAGCAGCAGCAGCAGAAACTGCAGCAGCAGGGGAGTCGGAAGCAGCAGGGTCGGCAGGGGCGCCCTGCTGCTCTGCAGAGTCTGAGGGAGGCATTGCAGCGGGGATCTGCTGCTACGCTGCTGCGCTGCTGTGCTGCTGCGCTGCCGCGCTGCTGCAGCAAAATGGGATAAAGAAGAAGCAGCAAAGAGCAAAGAAGGAAAAGTGTTTAGTTGAGGGAGTTTTCTTGCAGCAAAAGCCCCAAGCGGGCTGGAGAAGGAGCCTGGCCTCTGTGGGGCAGCAGCAAGGCTGCTGCCTGCAGCAAAAGGAAATAATAATAATTAACTTAAAAAATGAAAGAAGAATTAAAATTAAAATTAAATTGATGGTTAGAACCCGCTATTCAAGTCTGGTTTGCTGCTGCTGCTGCTGCTGCTGCTGCATGCTTCTCTCGGCAGGGCTGGACCGGGGGCCCCGGGGCCCCCGGGGCGGCGAAATCTGGGGAATAAAGACTTTGAATTAGAGTAAGAAGAAATAAATTAATGTAAATTAAAATTAAAACTTTTATTTTAATGATTAAATGCGAAGGCGGCGTTTCTTGGAGTGGAGTGGCGGTTGTCGGGGTGTACAGACAGCTCCGGAGGCTGGCGCTGGAGCGGCGGCTTCCGCAGATCGAAAGAAATTCAAATCTTTTAATTTATTGAATTGAATTAATTGAATTATTTCGTTTAAATTCATTTCATTTTACTTAACTTCATTGAGTTATTTCGTTCTAATTTGCTCCATTTTGCCTCAAGTTTCCGCCAACTCCCACAGCACACAACGAGCCCGGCTCCGTCGCTCCGGCTGTAGCCACTAAACCCTAAATCCTAAACCCTACACCTAAACCCTAAACCGGGGGCTCTAAACCCTACACCCTAAACCCTAAACCCTAAACCCTAAAC